GTTGCAGATGTTATGACTAGCATGGAGAGAGGCAAAGTTCTGACAGTTGCATCATAACTTCTGAAAACTTCTGAATTCTCAGAAGATCCGGAGCTTCTGAACTCCCATTTTTCTACTAACGTTGTTTCTGTTTGTGCAGTAAGTTAGAGTCAGAACTTCTGACCTCTTCTATTTTCAGCATTTGCGTTGATTTTGTTTTATTTCTCTTTTATTATTTTTTTGCCATCATCTTTATTTTTCATTAATCAAAAATACCAAAAATATTTCATATTCATATATCATATTTTATTTCTTTTGACATAAAAAGACAAAATATTTTCTTAAACAAAATTTATTTCTTTTCTTAAATAAATAAGCATTTTACATTTCTTGTACATTCTTATCCATTTCAATGTGGTTATAATAGTAACTTAGGATTTAATTTGCAATCCCCATTTGAAATTTGTACACCCCATCCCCCTAAATATTGTAATAGCGTTGGACTTTACATTTTTTCACTTTTATTGCTTTCATATATTGTTAGTAATTATGGCGTGTATGGCAAGACTAAAACCAATGTTAGAAAACCCTAATTCAAGACAAAATTATGCATGTAATCAAATACACTTTCTCACTAGGATCCCTAGGGTGATTCCACTTGTTTCCTTACAAAAATGATCATGTTATACATGTGGGATGTCTTAGCATAAACAAAATATAAGATCATAGTCCCTCCATGACGCTATCAAAGTTACCTTTCTAAATGATCTTAGTCCCTAAGGAAAAAATGATAAGTCATCTCACAACATTGTTGTCATGGTCATACGATGACCCATGCTCGTCCCTTTACATCCAAAGATAGGGTTGCTTACCAAACCAATGGCAAGACAACAATGTCAAAGGAAAAGAAAATGAACAAGAAAGACATTTGAGTAGGTGGATTGCTTCTAGTTACTTGCTCAATTTCAAAACAAACAATCTTGCTATTTTCAAAAACAATCATATACACCTTCAAAACATTTTCAAAACACTTTCCAAACGTGAAATATTTTCAAAAGTTCAACACATTTGTATACATTCTTAAGAACGTGAATTATTACAAAAGTTTGTCCAAACGATGGCGCCTTTTCAAAATACTTTCAAAAAACCACACAAAGCACATTTTTCAAACAAAAGCAAGTGATCTAGAAAGTAACTAAGAGCCCATGGAAAACCATGGATGAAAAGGGTGATAATACCTTCCATTTTCATAATCTACCCCCTGAACTCAAGAAAACATCTCTAAAGGTCTTTCATGTGCTTTTTCACCTTTCCTTATTGGATAAAAAAAAAGTCAGTGGCGACTCTTGCTAAACTGCAACATTTGCAAACACAAACGCAAAACAATCAAGGCAGTTCTCCCACCGTATCACACCCGGTAAGTCGAAAACCTGAAAGGGAGAATTGGGCAAAAATGGGTATCTTGGTGGGCTGAAAACCCGAAAGGGCGGCCCAGGCAAAAGTTAAGGATTAAAGAGTGTGACTATGTCTTTTGGGATTTCTACAGCCAGCTTTATTACCAAAATCTGAAGTTCAAATGGTCCAAAGTCAATCCAATCAACTTCATTCATCGGCAAGGGTTTGCTCGAAGACATAAAGGCAATAACAGAGTTGGGACAATGAGATCACTTATATATGGCTATTATTTTTGTTTTTGCTCTGTACACTTTTAATTTCTTTGGACAATTTCCTCTTACTAGGATCTTTATCTCTCTGTACAAAAACGCCTATTCATGGGCAAAATATTAATACAAATATACTTTGAAGTACAAATTTTTGTCGTTTTCTGTTTTGAGTGCCAAGGTGTCGAATGACTAAAATTGAATGAACATATGCATATGAACATGATTAAATTTTTGTATGCTTCAAAACAGTGACGAGCATCTCCCTAAATGTATCTGAGATATCCCCACGGAGTTATGTCAGTAACATTATCCCCATAAATTCGGATTCAGGCAATCCCTAGCCAGAGTTTCAATCTCCGGAAAACCCTCTTCCCAGCTGAGTTGGTCTCAAGAAGAATTCTTGTGGAATTCTTCTTAAAAAGAACATCCTTCCCAGTAGTTCATCCAATATCCTTTTCAACAGGGTTTATTTCCCTGACAAAATGGAAAAAATACCTAACTTAAGTTTTCCTCTTCGACTATTACAAATCAAGGGATCACAACCCCTAATCCCTAGTGAAGTTGTCAACTGAGTCTTTGCTATCTCCGAAAGTTGTCATGAAGCCTGGAACCCGACCAGATAACAGTCAACTTCATCCTTTCAAGCAAGTTACTATGAAGCCTGGACCCGACCAGATTCTAGTTCAACTTCACCATACTCTCAACTTACTGTGAAGACTGGATCTGACCAGATAACAGTAAACCACAATTCCCAGTTACTAAAGCCTGAACCCGACCAGATAATAGTTTAACTTCTTCAATTGCTGAAATCTGAACCCGACTAGATAACAATTTAAGTTTATGAAACCTGGATCCGACTGGATAACAGTTAATCTCATTTTTAAGTTACTAAAGCCTGGACCCGACCAGATAATAGTTTAACTTCTTCAATTTCTGAAACCTGGACCCGACCAGATAACAGTTTGAGTTTCTGAAACCTGGACCCGACCGGATAACAGTTAATATCATTTTTAAGTTACTAAATCCTGGAACCGACCAGATAATAGTTTAACTTCTTTAATTGCTGAAACTTGGACCCAACCAGATAACAGTTTGAGTTTCTGAAACCTGGACCCGACCAGATAACAGTTAATCTCATTTTTAAGTTACTAAAGCCTAGACCCGACCAGATAATAGTTTAATTTCTTCAATTGCTGAAACCTGGACCTGACCAGATAACAGTTTGAGTTTCTGAAACATGGACCCGACCGAATAACAATTAATCTCATTTTTTAAGTTACCAAAGCTTGTACCCGACCAGATAATAGTTTAACTTCTTCAATTGCTGAAACTTGGACCCGACTAGATAACAATTTGATTTTTACAAATCACTAAATAAAACTCCTTTTCCCTAGTAGAGTTTTCCACTGTTCCAGCAAGTTGCTGCAAAGCCTGGAATCAGACCAGATAACATTTAACTTCTTTATCCCCAACAAGTTGTGGTGAATCTTAGAATCCGACCAGATAACAACTAACTTTTAAGAGATAACTCCCCAGTAGAGCAATGGACAACTAAAACTCATAAACTCTTTTTCCCAAGCAGAGATCAACACTCTCCATAGAGTCTTCTCAAACAAGTCAACATTCCCCATCAGAGTTCTCCTCAAACAACATAACATGAATCTCCAGTGGAAACATCCTAAAACAAGGTCTAAATAGGAGCATACTCTTCATCCCCAGCAGTAGTCCGGGATTTCATTTCCCAAGGCTCACCAACATTTGTCAAGGATTTATTTTCCCAGACAAAGATACCCTTCAATCACATTTCACATTCACACATCATATAACATATACATAAAACATAATCTCATTTATTTTGAGAACATCATCACACCATGCATACTTCTGCATGCAACTACCCTCTTCCTTGCAGGAAAGATCAATCAAGACCTCTTTCGGTTAGATTTATTTCTTCCAGTTAAAGGCAGGAGAGACAAAGACCTTTTCTGTCACCATGGATGGCATCTGTAAGCCCATCTCTGACAAATCTCCATCATCTCTCCAAATGTCATCTTTAAGCCCATTCCCGATACAATAAACAAAAGCGAGTGCAAATTTCTGGGCACTCTAGTGTTCAATCATCTTTCACTTTCAAGCTACAAACGGCAAACATGCCAATCTCACTTTTTCCAGTTTAAGAAGATTAAACAGGGGCAGCTGTTGTACCCCAAAATTTGCCCTCCCATTTTTCATTCAAGATGCTATCATAGGGTTTCTCAAATACTCAAAATGACTTAGGGTTTGATCAAACAGATTCTTCTCCTATGCATTGAGTCGACAACTAGGGTTTGTTATTTCTCAAGCAAATTTGAGTTTTCGAGGTTTCAAATGGTCTTCATGGTTCTTCATGTATTCTCAAGGATGTTCGTGTCATTTTTTCAAGCCTTGCATCACAAGTTTGCTCAGTCATTGGTTCAGATGACTGAAAATGACTGCATTGACCCAAAAATCGACCTTTGCGAGATCAAGTTTAAACAGTTGTAACTTCTTCATTATTCGATATTTTTGAGCCGTTCTTTTTGCGTATGACTCTCCTTGACGTCATCTCAAATTTCTCTTCACAAGTCAAGAGCTGATTACATGCGAAAGATCATTAAAAATTCGAATATTTTAGAGGTCACTTTCTGGATTTTTGATCTAATCTCAAGTAATTGTTGTCTGACTTCCAAGAATCGTAATTTCCTTAATTTTCAAGATCTTGAGACGATTATGTTTTCACATCGTTCAAGGAGTGTTCATTGCTTGTAGTGCAAATTAAATTGGATTTGAGTTAAGGGTTCATTAGGTTGGAGTTGATTTAAAAGTATTCACTCAAGTGACAGTTTAAGGATTTTATTATAATTTAAGGTTCAAATATCATTCAAGTTTCAATTCTAATTCAAAGAATTCAAATGGTGGATAACGAGAATATGATCAAAGTCGTGATTATGGAGTTGAACATGGAAAGGCTAAGTAAAATTCAAATGAAAATGGGAAGAGAAAGATATTATTGGAGAATGTAGTATCATTAAAAGAGTATTCAAAGTTTCAAGTAATTTCCATTTGCATTCATACAGATATCCATTCATATTCACAAGATTCATCAGGAATTCAAGTTCATTCATGAAAAAGTATTTAATCATACACTTGAATTCAAATATCGTCCATAAATTTCATGATTCAATTCTTTCAAATGTCAATCAATTCTTTTTCAAACTCAAACGAAGGACTTTGAATTTCATCAAGAAAGATCAAGATTCAAAGTTTCATATAAGGATTCAAGATGTGTACAATTACAAAGGAATTGGGAATTATATTGAAGAACAAGTTCCATTCATGTTACAAATTTATTGGAGTTATTATTACAAAATTACAAAAAAGAATTACAAGTTGGTACAAAACTATTATTCCTAATATTCTAAAAATTCTGCTCGACAAGTTGCTAATGCAACCCCCATTTTCCAGCCCTGTTGCAATGCAATAAAAGCCCAACTTTGTTGTATTTTGCTGCCCAAAAAATGCAGCAAAACAGCCCCAAAAATACTGTAACATCCTACAAAACAGTAAAAAAAACAGCAACCATAAAAGTCCCAAAACTTTTATAAAAATACAGCAAATCAGTCCACATGCTGCCAAAAGTCTGCTATGAACAGTCTGCTCCAACCTACATTGAAACATCCACAAAATTACATAAAATTGGTTAAAGAAAATTGTGTGAACAAAACATGAAAACAGTTTGTCAAAATAGTTCAAAAACTCTATTGTTTTCCCCCCTAAATGCTTTGTTATTTCCCTATATAAATCCCTCTTGATGGACTGAAATGAGATACAAAAAAAACTGAGTAAAAAAGAATCAGAAACACACATAGAAAACTCAAGAGAAGAACAACAAAGAAATAGAGGAGAAGAAATCAGGAAAGCACATAGAAATTCAGCAAGAAGAACATAGCAAATTCAAGGAGATAAATTTACTGTTTTGAAGCTCCATCGAAGAGACTCCGATTGGTATTTTTTCTTCTTCCTCTCTATTACTTCTGCACAACTCTTTCACATACATCCATGTCTGCTAGATTTGTTTGCATAGTAATTTTATGTTTGAATCACTGTTTTTTACAACTTGTTATATTAAAAAAACAGAAAAATGTTATACATATGTTCTAAAATCTATTACAAGCCAAAAACACTAAAACTTGTTTAAAAATAGAATATTCGCTACATATTTGCTAAACCAACAGCAACAAGAATAACTCTTTCAATTCCATTTTTTCTCTCTCTCAAAGTTTCCAACAAAATAGAATAATGTTTTACAATTGGTCTTTGCATCGTATGTGCTAGGTGAAGGCAATTGCATCTGCTCCCAGTCTCATACTATTAGTCTTTAAACCATCTCAATCTACAAAGTCAACTAATTAAATATAAAAGAAAATACCGCATACTTTAAATAAAGAATGTCATAGTGCATACACTGTCTAATGATAGATTCTGACACTTTATCCGAAAATCCAAACTCATGCAACATCACTTTGCTTCTGGATTCATTCCACTGCCATCTTCTAATACCCAATGTCAATACAAAGTAGGAATGTAAACATTTTCATTTTGTTGTTCAGCCCTTTGATAATGTTTCATCTCTTATGGTACTCCCTCCCTTTGTCATTATTTTCACTTCAACCACTCCATCTTCCTTCTTCATCAAACCGCTCAAACCTTTGCCCTTTACTCCAAGTATCCACTGAAATCATACAAATTCCATAAGAAAATCTTTATCTCCCTTTGCTCATACCGAGAATCATCACATAAAACATCAACTTAACCTGTCAACCACAAAACAGAACTCAGAACTCAGAATAAGAACTTATACACCCTTTCATACAGAATTACACAAAAATTCACAAAGAGATTTAACGTACCTCTTCTAATGTCTTCAACAGTACTCTTTCCGTTGTTCAATAACAACCGCAAATACCCCCCATCGTCTTCAGCCATCACGTCTTCTCCCTCAATGTCTGTCTGTTTCACCACCACACTCTCTCTAAAATCAACACCATCACAATCATAACATTCACAAGTTTGACCTCAGATTGCACAACCTCACTAAACTCCATCAGATTCAACCTAACATCATCTGAACTTCCGATCCAAAACCGTACACTAACGTTGAACCGCGATCCACTTTTATTTCATGCTAACAGCTGGTCCAACACACACCCGCAAGTTCTTGTACTCTCACCGTCTCCAAACTATCATCTTCGCACTACGATAACAAGATGGTGAGTTCCAAAGTATTGTAAGGATAATCAATGCAAGCACTCACTGAAGGATTTGGTTTGTTTTTGAACTGCTAGTCAGCTCTGCGAACCGTCGAAGAAAACGAGTGGGGCGGCCGTGACTCTCATCTCACCCTCAGCAACATACGGATCCTTCAGAGCATTCAGGCCCAGCTTAGGAGCAAAAGGAGACCGGTCTCTAGATGATTTTGACGTTTGGAAAACAGAGGGAGATGAAGTTTGTTTTAGAGAGGAATTTCTGTTTGTTTTTTTTTGTTTTTACAATAAGATAGAAATAGAGTGTTGATGTTAACATGCATTTTCCTTCCCCATGTTAACAATGATAATTCTGCATTTGTTCCCTTCTCAATGCTAATAACCCGCGGCGCCACCCTTTTCCTTTAGGGTTCAAATTTTTTTTCCTATTCCAAACAGGGTCAACCTTTAATGGGCTTGCAGGCCCAATCCGTTACCTTGTTCATCTTTTTGTATTAATTTAATATAATTATAACAGATGAAAAATATAGTTCACTTGACAATGTATCATTGGCTCTAACTTGAGGGCACGGGTTCAACCCCTCTGGAGCTTGGTTTTCTGTTTTTTTTTTTTATTTCTTTAAGTTTTTGATAACAAAATTAGTTTAATTAATCTCTAGTTTAGACTTTAAAGTTCAATTTAAAAAAATATATAATTAGTTAACTAAGTTAGAATTTTGTAAATAACTTTATGAACTTTTTTCTAAGTTAACTTCCTTTTAAATTAGTTAAATTTTCATAAATAGTTTAGTTAGGAATTTTTGTAAATAATTTTACTAATTAACTTTTTTTTCTTTATTCTTAAATTATTTGTTTAATTTCTTCATAATCAAAAGATAAAATATATACAAATGATTTAATTTCTTTAATCAATTATTTTCTTTGATAGAATAGGATTTTAGTTTTCTTTCCAAATTCTCACAAACAAAAATACCAAGAATTTTGATTCCTATACTTTGTTAATTAATTTTTACTTCATAATATTGTTGTAGTTTAAATTAATTGTTCGATTCGATTTGGTTGTATTGATTGCCTATTTGGACTTTTAATCACATTGATCCATCCCCATTTATAAATTTGTACTCCCCATTCCCGAAAGCTCTGTAATAGCATAGAACTTTAATTTATGCAATTTACTGTTTTTCTTTATAATGTATAGTAATTAGGCGTGTATGGAAAGATTTAAAATCAACCGCTAGACAACCCTAATCAAAGACAAATTAACTTGAAAACCAATCACTTTTCACACGCGCACCTCTAGGGTAACCTCACTTGTTGCCTCGGAAAAAAATAGTCATGTCCCTCGAATGTGGGACGCTTAAGCAAAGACCCTTCGATAAAAAAGATTGTAGTCCCTCGATGTCCCTGGATGTTGCCTTCGGTAAATGATCTAGTCCCTTACGAAAATTGCTAAAGTGTCTCACAAGTTGCCTTTTATGACTGTACGATTGACCCGTGCCTATTCCTTCACATCCAATGATAGGGATTTTTTTTACCAAATCAATGGTAAGATAGAAACATTTAAAGGAGGAGGAAAAGAACAAAGACCTTTTGAGTAGGTAGGACGCTCGTAGTTGCTTGCTCACAAACTAAAACCATTTCCATACTTACACTTTCAAAACATCTTTCCAAGACAAACATCTCTTTGAACTATTTTCAAAATCAACACTTTGTATACATTCTTACAAGACGAGAATCATTACAATGTTTCCCGGAACAAAGGCGTTTTCAAAATATTTTCAAACTTGCACCCATCACAAACACATTTTCAAATAAAGCATTTTTTAAGTGATCTAGCAAGCAACTAAGAGCCCATAGATAACTATGGGTGAAAAGGGTGCTAACACCTTCCCTTTTCATAACCTACCCCCGGAACTCAAGAAAATATCTTAAAGGTCTTTCTTGTTCTTTTCACTCTTTCATTATTGGATAAAAGAAAAGTCGATGGCGACTCTTGCTATCCGCAATAATTGCGATCAAACGCAAAACATCCAAGCCAGTTCTCCCACCGTATTACAAGTATCAACAAGGCTTCATCACAGTTCCAGATCTAGATGCAACACTACAACATAGAAAAGAAATCCTTAATACTTTGAGACAGAACTTAGAACGCACACGACAAAGAATGGCAGATCAAAGTAACAAAGAATGAAGTAGTTGTACCTTTCATGTCAGAGATCTTGTTCTCATCCGCCTTCAACAGTACCGACAAGTCTCCATCTCCCACCACCGTTCCCAAAAGCTTTTTCCTTGATATTTTGGTCGGCTCAAGGTGCGCCGCTGCATCGGAATTGTTGTGTATGATATGGAACTCCCACCATCTTCCCAGATCCACCTGGTCCTTCATGTTTCTCAGCTAAAAGCATATCACGGTAACAATCCCTCTTCCCACTTTCGCCATATACCATCGGACATGGAAGTCTTATATGCGTTTGAAGAACAAACTCATAAGACTCAGATCGTTTCAGATAATCATCACACAAAAGACATGCAATCAAGATATTTATATGTTGAAGGCGAGGAAACAATTTTAGATCCTTTGGAAGGAGAACGAGTTCTGGATAACAGTATTAAAGTCTTGAAACTCGCTGATATTTCTGAAGGCGGAAACAGAACTGGGTTTAGAAGTCAAGAGAGAAGTGTGTTTGGAGGAAAGGAGAAACACATGTTTACAAGTACAGAGAGAAGTATGTTTAAAAGTGGAGAGCAAAGTCTTTGTACTTCTAACCTCACGAACAGTCCCCAAGATAATAACATGTTATGTCCAAAGGTTTTTTCTCTCTCTCCATTACAGCCGCTAAAAACATTGGATTCCCTGATCGATTCATCTTATACCGTTGATCATCTACCCGTTGCAACATTGAAAACATGGAAAAGTCATTTACAGTCTGTTTCACAAGGCCTTACGCGTCCCTTTGAGTTGTCCAACAAACACACTTTTTCTACGCCAGCTGTTCCGCATGCTTCTACTTTGAGATCCCAAACAACACGCCTCCCCAGCTGTTTCGCATGTCCGTTTTAAACATATTTTATTACTTAATATCAGTATTTGTCATTTAAAATATATACATAGAAGTACTTACGGACCACTCGCAAGATAAAAATGCATCAAGTGTCCTAATGAAATAATTATATAGTACAAGACGGTATATTAGAAGGCACATTCGCTCTAGAAACAAGCCCACATGGATGCAAGTTTTTATTATTAATTTCCTTGTTCTAATTATTATGTTATTTTGGGCTTGGTCCATTAGATTTTATTATTGATTCAATAGAATCTTGAATTTGTATTTAAGAGCACTCGTGGTTCTTTGAAGAGCCAGAAAAATTATTCAGTTTTATTTTGTTCTTGTGTTTATTCAATAGCAAACTTTAAATTTGGTGATAGCTGCTAAACCCTATATAAACTTTTTTATATGAATAAATACCAACATTTTTTCTTCAATATTTAGTATATGTGCATTTTATCCTTAGATTGCTTACCAAAAAAATATAGAAAACCAGTAATCAATACTTAATAATGTATATGTAAATTTAAAAGGGTCTAAAGAGTTTTTCTTTTCTTATTTTCCCTTAGCATCATTTTCTAAATAGTTTTTTTTCACTCAACATCCCTTTCAAAATTTCAGGGGGGTCCTAACAAAAAGAACAGCAACTAGGGTAACTGACATGTGACTTTATCTAATAGATCCATCACTTGCGGCAAATTTAAGCTGTCCTTTTTCAACTTCATTTAAGTTTTTTTAGCTCTTTCTTTTACACTGACACTTTACTATTTTCACTTATGAGTATACATTGCTCAATAATTGAAATAGTAAGAAAATGGAAACTGAAAAAAATAGGTAGTATAAAATAGCCACAGCTCTTTGCTTGGAATATTATTTTACACTGCCTAAGTCCTTTATGTGTCAGCATTGCATTTATATATTGTGTGCCCATCAGTAATGAATGCCTTATGGTCAATAAAATTTACCTCCTCTAAATTGATAAGTTATTTTAGAGAGAAAAGCTACAACAATTACTAAAGTTTTCACCAATAAGTGAGATATTTTAATTGTCATTTAAAGTGAATTGGTCACACATAATGTGCATATGGTTACGTATAACACAACCATACAAAAATAATTTGTATAAGGTTAGGATTGTCTCTATTTATTAACATATATTTATTAACATATTTTCATGTGATATTTGAAACTCTTTAATACTTTGTATCTTTGTTTCATTTTCTTTATACCTAAAAACAATTTAAGTGGCAGTTGATATTGGCATATGAACAATTTTAAGATTAATTAAATATTTCTTAGTTGATAGTGATGAATTATCGTGAGAGAAAATATATATATTACGTTAAAGATTCATTCAAATAAGTGAAAAAGATATCATATATTTATCTAAAACCTTGATACATTAGATATACGAGTAATCTCACTTATAAAGTGTTTAACATTCATTTTTCAAGCAACGTAGAACTCTAAATCCACACGTGTATCTTAATAGATAGCAAACAAGACAAGTACACAAACATAATTTAATGTGAGTCTCTTAATTTTTTTCTCAAACTTACTAGGTTCTCTCATGTTTCCCAAGAATTTAGACCCATGCAACACATAATATGAATGGACAAGTTGACTTTATAATTCTCATGTTTCCCAAGAATTTAGACCCATGCAACACATAATATGAATGGACAAGTTGACTTTATAATTTGTTTCATGCTAATAGTGTTACTAATTGAAGAGGACAAAAATTGTTCAACCACAATCTAAGAGAAGTTGTGCATTGGAAATAAGGAAAGTGCAACATGTCGAGAAAAGAAATACATAGTTTGAGTGTAAAGAACTACATATTTGAAAGTAGAGAGAACATTCATGCCCTAATCACTTAAACATTTGAATGAGATGACATATGTATGGCATAATTTTATGTCAAATAATATAGTTTTATCTATAAATATCACAACATGTAAATTATTGATCATATTCAATTAGTCGAATTATTTAACTTATTTTAATGTATTTTTAGGTTAGTAGTTCAACATCTCAACATATATTATACTTAATATTCTATATAATAGTTAAGGAATCCACTGAAAGAACAATTTTCTTCTTCGATACAATCGTTTGACAATAATATAGTCATTGTTGAAAGTTATCTATAATTGATCATCGACAAAATTTCAAATTTTTATCAATATCTTAACAATTAAAACAAATGATCATATTGATCTTTAGATTGGTATTCGTAAAAGCATATCAATGATAACTTTATTAGTGAAGACTAGTAAAATCAGAGTTGAATTATTATTTCAGTTGTCTATCATTGTTCTTCTTGCACTCTACTCTTTATATAGAAGTTCGGATCCACTTTACGCGAAAATTCATCATAAGCAATTTAATATGATTACTCTAGATTGATATGATATTCTTATGGTGATTAGAAATCCAACTTAATTTTCTCAAAATCGTAGATCATGATACCTCTCTCAGTCATAAATACATTTTTAATTATATAACAATCAAATATTGATGTGCACTAGACTTGAACTAGGATAATCAATATAATCCATTAGTTATTTTAACTTGATTCTATTTTTTTTCGAGAGGATCATTAATTATGGCAAATTCTATTGGATCCGAGATGATATTTTATCTACTTCAAAATCTAACCTAAGAAATCATACATGCACAAGATCATTTGTTCAAACGATACAAGTAGTTCAAAATAGCTCATCCTAATTGATCATTGAGACTTTCATTTCATATTTATCTTTTCAATGCTACAATCAATGGAGGGACGACATTAACAATTTGAGCCACATTTCCTCAAATTTTTTGAAATAGAATACCAAAAAGAAAGATAATTTCCAAACATTTAAATCCATTTTAGTGAAGAAGAATGTTTTTATAAATCCTAAGAAGTGGAGAACATGAAACATTGTATACTCTAACTTTTATGGAAGAATAAGGTTTTTATGATGCATCTTAACTACTTATTTATTATTTCAAAAATAACATCAATGTCACACTATTTTTCATTATACACTTAATAAAGTTAAATGATCAAAAATGTAAAGTGGATTCCCTATTAAAGTGGATCTCACTATTTATTTATAAAAACAAAAGAAAAAATAAAAAAATAAAAAGTTTTTAGGGGAAAAATTTATTTGACAAGTAGTTAAAAAGATTTTTAATTATAAAACAACACAACAAATGATCAACAAAAAAAGGTTTTAGAGAACAATAGAAATAGAGAAGAGGAAAAAGTGTGACGAGTGTTGTGAGATAAGAAGACAAAATTGACTCAAAGTAATAGATGGATGCAACAAACTTTATCTGTTTGAGTTACAAATTTAATATAATATTTCTATCACTTAATTAATTTTATTTATATTCCTATTGAGAAGTTTTATCTTCTCTTAAATTTATTTTGGTGTACGCACATATTGTGTAGGAGTTGTTTAGAGTATATTTCTCGCATTTATTGTTTATTGGTGAATATTGCTATTTCTTAGTGTGTTGCTTTACCTACTACTGAGTTTGAGTAAGTTGGGGAGTAGCGTCTTAGAAATCAGGGTTACAATAGTGTGTTGTTTTACCTACTAATGAGGTTGAGTATATTATCGCAACTTAAGTGCTTAAAAAATTATGAATGAAGAAATTCCTTAAAAAGTTGGGTGTTGAACAAGAAAAGTTTATGTTGTTTTGTGACAATCATATTACAATTCATCTTGGTAAGAACATGGTGTTTCAATCCACATCAAAATACATTGACGTTTGGTATCATTGGATACGAGATGCATTAGAAGCGTAGTTGTTCTCACTTGAGAATATTCATAATAATGAGAATAGTTCAGACATGATAACAAAGACTTTGCTTAAAACAAAGATGATTAATTGTAAAAAGAATGTGGACATATTAGAGCATCTCCTTCTCATTTGAGTCGTGAAGGGGAGATTCGTAGGACGTGTGCACTCTTAAAGTGGGCCTCACCACTAATTTAAGAAAAAAAAATAAATGAAAAAAAAAATCTTATGTGTATTATTTATTTGGGTCAAACTCATTTGACTAGTGATTTAAAGAGAGTTTTTAATCCTACAATAAATAAACAACTAAACAAGAGTTTCAGAGAATAAGAGAAATAGAGAAAAGGAAAACGCATGGCAAATGGATGGGTATAACAAATTTTACGAGTTTGAACTACAAATTAAGTATGATATTCGTATTACTTAGTTAATTTTATTTATATTTCTATTAAATAATTTTATTTTTCTTAAAGTTATTTTGGTACACAGTACACTCACTTTTGCGAAGGAGTTATTTAAAGTGTATTTTTCAACCTTTACTTTTATTGATAAATACTGTTATTCTTTAGTATTATTAGCAAGACTTTTGTACATCCATTAATTTTGACATGGTTAGGTGATTTTAATTGAAATTTACTTTAAGTTTTAAATTTGATTATAATTTTAAGATAGGGTTTGTAATTTTTTTAGCTCAAATAATATTTTATTAATTATAGACGTAACTGTTCAATTTATTTTTACGTAAATATATTTTAATGTAAATTATCTTATATTGACCTCAATTTTAATAAATAAATTTACAAATTTAATTCATTAAAAATGAACTCTATGTTCACTTACACTCCTAATAGTATTAGACTAATAAAAACACATCAAAGAATAGTTTCATTTTATATCCTTTTTTAAAGCAAATATTACTTTAACTTATTGATAGAAGATAAAAATATTTGTTAGAGATAGTGTATTTTTAGAAATAATGAAAATACCTTTTTTTCATTTTCATTGTTTCAAAAGAAAAATTGTTCATTTTTAAAGTCTAGTATTTTTTTATTAATAAATAAAACTAAACAAATTAAAAAAATTAAATACATATATACTTTTATAAGTGTCTAAACCATTGTCGTGGTGGGAAATTGAAAAATCCTCTCTTTTATAACATTTTATTTTTCAATTTATCATTTTTCACGTTAAAACACCTTTAGAATTTGATTTTAAGATAGGTAACGTTGTTCCAAACAGACAACAAGAGATTCAAAATTGTAGAATATATATAAAAGGTTAGTGGTAAATTTAAGATCTCAATTGACTTTGTAGTTAACAATACTCTCTCTAAAAAGAAATATATGTTTCATTTTTGAAATAGTCAATTAGAGAAATTGTCCAATTATTGCGTATTAAACAAAAGAAAATAGTTAATTTTGTATTTATAAATACAAAATTTCAAGAAGAAACAAGAGAAAAAAAGAACTATGAAGGTGACACAAAATATATCCAAAAAGCCACAAAGATAAATAGCTAAAGTAAGCAGCAAGAATTTCAATGATCACCAACTCCAACTCCAAATGAGAATGAGACTAGAGCACAGAAACAAGAACCATCATACAAATCAGCATCTTTCAAAATTAGCTTAAGACCACAATCCTAAGAGAATCAGATCAAAACTCTCAAACCAATATTAGCTTAATAGGGGATATGGTTCATAAGTTGATTAAGGAAAGAGCATGAGTAAATCTATCATCTATCAAAAAATTATATTCACGCAAGGAAAATGCTCGTATTGTCTATGTCATCTTTGTATAACGACTTAGCTGTAAAAATAATATCATTTTGTGATTTTAAAATAGTCTAAAAACAGAATGTGTCAAATTATGATAAGTTTTCGCCTCTAATTCTAGTCAAGTTCCCTAAGGAAGAAAAATAATTCAAAAGGGGATATGATCTCCAAAAAGGACAACTACTCTTTCAATTCAATGAAAAATCTTATACCACATGTTTGCCACATGTTACAAGTGACAATTAAATACGAGACATATTATATAGGCACATCACTCTAATTACATAAAAGACAAACATGATCACGAATGACCCTTATTTTGAATATATCTCTGTTGGAAAACGACCTCTATAATTTTCCTCCTTCGTGAATTCAAAATAGACATTAACAGAAACGTGAAGTATAGATTTAATGACACAAAAAGAATTTTAACGTAGAAAGTCTTCTCAATGTGATAAAGAAAAAACCACATGACCCTTAGGCCTCTTAAATTTCCACTATAATGATAATGGAAATACAACAACTTCACCCTCAGGTAGATCTCATTATAATATATCTTTCAATTTGTAAGGAACACTCTCACAAATTGACTCACTATTTCTCTCACAAGAAAACTTTGTATGAGGATCACTTTTCTCTCTTGAACAATGCTCTCTTTCTCTCTTGCTTATTATTGTTCTTCTCTTGTGGTTGTGTGTTAAATATTTGTTCATGATCTTATTTATAGGAGAAGCAAGTCAAATGTGTCTTACATGCATGAAAACACTTGTCATTTGCCTTCCATGCAAAACACCAAGTGTCCCTTGCAAAGTATGCACCATAACAACCGTTACACATGCAATACACCATGTGTACATCATACACCTTGTGTAACACTCGAGGCCGAAAAAGGCGAGAAGTGGTTACACCACATGTAACACCCGAGACCTAAGAGGGAAAAGGTGGTTGCCACATCGGAATGAGAGGGATCCCGAGGCTATGCAGGTATGAGACTGCATGGTTGAAGGAGGGATTATAAGGATTAATTGGTACTACCTATACCAACAAGATGCATCTTCTTTTCGGTGGCTCATTCATAAGAGCTCCATAATTAAGCGTGCTTGACTTGGAGAGATTTTGGGATGGATGACCTTCTGAGAAGTTTCTCATAAAGTGTGTGAGTGAGGACAAATCATGCTGAAAATATTTGTGTTAGTTTGTGGGGATAGTCGGTAATCATAAATACAGTCTGGGGCATTACAAATGGTATCAGGGTCATACCTCTCCCAGTACGATGTAGTTTGAGGATGAACCATGCAGAAGCTGGTGGACATGTAACACTCGAGGCCGAAAAGGGCGAGAAGTGGTTACATCGTATGTAACACTCGAGGCCTAAGAGGGCAAAGGTGTTCGCCAAATCGGAATGAGAGGGATCGCGAGGCTCTATGTAGGTATGAGACCGTATGGTTGAAGGAAGGCTTATAAGGCTTAATTCGTACTACCAATACCAACAAGATGCATCTTCTTTTTGGTAGCTCATTCATAAGAACTTTACAGTTAAGCGTGCTTGACTTTGAGCAATTCTAAGATGGTTGACCTTCTGGGAAGTTTCTTAGAAAGCGTGTGAGTGAGGACAAATCATACAGAAAAGACTTGTGTTGGTTTGTGGGGTTAGTCAGTAATCCTAAATGAAGTATGGGGCGTTACACCTTGCTACTTATCATCACATCTAACCTTCCATTTTGTCAAATGTATGTTGGTCATTTAGTAATGGTTGGACCCTACATTTCTCCCCCGCCAGTCATCGCATGTAACACCCGAGACCTAAGAGGGCAAAGGTGGTCGCCAAATCAGAATGAGAGGGATTGCGAGGCTCTATGTAGGTATGAGACCGTATGGTTGAAGGAAGGCTTATAAGGCTTAATTCGTATTACCAATACCAACAAGATGCATCTTCTTTTCGGTAGCTCATTCATAAGAACTTTACAGTTAAGCGTGCTTGACTTGGAGCAATTCTGGGATGGGTGACCTTTTGGGAAGTTTCTTAGAAAGCGTGTGAGTCAGGATAAATCATATAGAAAAGACTCGTGTTGGTTTGTGGGGTTAGGCGGTAATCCTAAATGCAGTACGGGGCGTTACACCTTGCTACTTGTCATCACATGCAACCTTCTATTTTGTCAAATGTATGTTGGTCATTTAGTAATGGTTGGACCCTACATTTCTCCCCCTCCAGTCATCGCATGTAACACCTGAGGCCTAAGAGGGCAAAGGTGGTCGCCAAATTGGAATGAGAGGGATCACGAGGCTCTATGTAGGTATGAGACCGTATGGTTGAAGGAAGGCTTATAAGGCTTAATTCGTACTACCAATACCAACAAGATGCATCTTCTTTTCGGTAGCTCATTCATAAGAACTTTACAATTAAGCGTGCTTGACTTGGAGCAATTATGAGATGGATGACCTTCTGGGAAGTTTCTTAGAAAGCGTGTAAGTGAGGACAAATCATACAGAAAAGACTCGTGTTGGTTTGTGGGGTTAGTCGGTAATCCTAAATGCAGTATGGGGAGTTACACCTTGCTACTTGTCATCACATGCAACCTTCTATTTTGTCAAATGTATGTTGGTTATTTAGTAATGGTTGGACCCTACATTTATCCCCCTCCAGTCATAGGGGAATAACCTTGATTAGTTTAGGGTTGTTTCCAATCCAGCAACTTGTTTGCAAAACTCTATCTTCTCTTTTGGTAGAGGTTTTGTCATCATGTTTTCCCCATTCTTATTGGTGTGAAATTTCTCTACTTTCAACCGTTTAGTCTCCAACACATCAGGAATCCAGTGTTACCTAACATCAATGTGTTTTAAACTTGAATGGTATGTCGAGTTCTTGCTGAGATGAATTGTGTTCTAACTATCGCAATGGTGAACATAACTTTTTTGATTTTGTCCTAACTCTTGCAGGAACTTCTTCATCCACTGGATCTTCTTACAACTTTCAGCGATTACAGTGTATTCAACTTTTGTGGTACTCAAAGCAATGCATTTTTGTAATCGTGATTGCCATGACACAACTCCCCCTGCAAAAGCAATCAAAAACCCAGAAGTAGATTTTCTTGAATCTACATATCCTCCCATGTCTGCATCTACACACTCAATGAGTAATTGCTTTTCTTTTCTAAAGCACAAACATTATTTAGAAGTTTCTCTTGCAAATTCAGTGTTTGAATAAGATTTGAACATGGGTGATTTTGCTATCAAAAGCTTGGAGAATAAATGGAATAAGTCCCTCTATTTATAGGGAGGTGAATGGCAAGTTTTAGTGGGAGAATGGACGCTCAAAACTTGCATTCCAAGTTGATCCGATGAGTGAGTTTGTTACAACTTGAACATGGCCAAAACACACCCCAAACTCACGTTTTATGACTCAAATATCTTTTGGAAACATGTTAAACCTGATTAGTGATGAAAACATGTGCTTAAGTTGCTTAAATTTAATAATAAAGTGAGATGCAAAATTGATCAAGGAGAAAAAACTAAATCCAAGTGACCTTATTCAAAATTATGGGGCAACAAGCACAAGAGGCTTTTTGAGATAATTCCTTTTGGAACTTGTAGATTTCATCACAATCTTCATAATGTGATAAGAAAGTTACTTTTGGAAACTTGGATCAAAAGTTATAGCATGTGAAAATTGGTGAAAAATCCTGACTTTTATACTTTTTAGAAAAATTTCTAAGTTAAAAGCCTTAAAATGACACGTGATCTTTTGATGAATTCCATGGCCTTCCAAGAAAAATTAGAACTTGACCATTGAAGATAAATTGTAGAGGGAATCAAGAAGATCATTGTGAAAAGTCAATGGGTCCTATATGATAAGAATTTAGCAAGTTATGATTCTTGAAAGTTGGGGAAGAACCACTTGAAATTAGGTCAAAATTTCATTAAGTCCCCAAATGACCTATAATGTCTTCAAACATTTAATGACTTTCTTCATATAATTAGCTCTTGAATTGTAAGAAGTTAGATAGGATGTCCAAGATAGTAATATTCAAAAATGAACATCCAAAAATGTTGAATAACGAAGGAGTTGTGGTCTTTTGAACTTTGACATGAAAACTTTCCAAATTAGGTTAAATCACTTTGCATAACTTTGATACTTTGATCTTTTCTTGCAATCCAAGGCATGATGAAGCTCATATGAACTTATAATGATGAATCCTATATTTTGATTAAACATGGCCAAACTTGAGGTTACTTGATGATGAAGGCATGGAAATAAACACATGAACCTTTGACATTTCTTGAGAAATAAGCAACCAATCCTTGGTCACCCCTTGATCAATTTAGATTGAATGATATTTGAAAATTATATAACTTAATATTATAGGTAAATCCATAATTAACAAGTCCTTGAGAATCAATGCTGACCATATTTTGACTTTGATCAAATGAAAACCCTAGCTGGGGGAAATTGTTTGATCCATTTGATTCACACTTGTCCTTGCAAACAAACAAAGGGAAGCAAAGCAAATATTTTTGGTACTTTGATTATATTTTATTAAAACATAAAGCATGTTGATAAAACAAAAACACAATGTATATTTGACTCGATTTGCACATGTTTTATTAGTTATTTTACCTATATTTCAAGAGTTATATTGGTATTTTGTCTGTGTTTCCGGTACTTGATCATATGAGAGTCTTACGCAAAGAAATGGGACAAATCCAACCAAAAAAATGGGGAAAAGAATAAATTTTTACTCACGACGCACACCATGGAATTCTCCACAGAGGTGTCATGATATGGCAAGTGATGACTACGTTCAAAAGAGCCAAAGAATAAGTCAGATGGGAAAAGCAAAGTGTGGCGTTTGCCACAAGGGGATGGCTTTCGCCATCTTTTGTTTTTTGCGGAAGTTGCAAAAGTGGGCTTGGCTTGGTTTCCCACTCCCTCCATTCATCCCTACATTCTCTCACATGAATTCAACAACCACCACTTAGCATTTGAGGGTTTTAGAGCAGTATAAATAGGAGTTTTACTTCACTTTTCAAGGCATCCAAGCTTAGCACAATCTTAAGCATTATACATCGGGGTGTTATAGAATCGTTGAGCATTGAATTTGTATTGAGTTTGGAGAATTTAGATTGTTGAAGTTTAATCTTGCCGCCTGTGATCGGTGGAAATAGAACTGACTGTTTTTAAGCTGGTTCGCGAAATGTCGCGGTAAGCAAGAGTCGCCACCGTCTTTTATGTTCTCCAACATGGAAAGGACAAAAGCACAGCAAAATTCCTTATTGAGAATGTTTCTCGGTTCGGGAGGTAGATTTATAGAAAGGGAAGGTGTTAGCACCCTTTCTATCCGTGGTTATCCACGGGCTCTTAGGTACTTTCTCTTATGTTTTCAAAAGATGTTTGCTTTTCAAGTGTGAAGTGGGTTTTGAAAAAGTTTCGTTTGAAAAATTTCTAAGTAACTCTTGTATCGGTCCTCAAGAGTGTATGAAAAATTTGTTTGAAAACTTTTAGAAAGTGTGAGGTGTGAAAAGTATTTGTTTGTTTTTGAGAAGAGCAAGTACTTAAGAGAAATCTACCTACCCTAAGGAATTAAGCTGTGTAAGTGTCCTTTAGATAGTGCTATCCCACCATTGAGAGGTAGGTAGCACCATCGTTGGAGGTGTTCGGGTCAATTTGATTATCGGGACAGTGTGGTCACCGAAGCAATGGTAGGACACCTTAGAAGTAACCCTAATGTCCTAGATCCTTTTTATCCGAGGCAACCGTTTCGAGGCAACTGTTTCGAGGCAACTGGATCTTAGACATAAGAGCGACTGCTAAAACATCCTATACTTGACGACCACGTTTCGAGGCAACGAGTGAAGCGTACCCTAAGAGTGGCATGTGCTTTGTGTGTTGTATTCAGTTAATGTTTGTCTTTGTAATTAGTGAGCTACGAGTTATTTTTATTTACCATACATTCTTTCATGCTTTTAACAGTTAGGGGGTGCGGAAAGTAAATTGCGGAAACATAAATCCTATGCTATTACAAGGCGCGGGTCTATACATCGCCAAAAATACAAAGACCCGTTTTTGGTAAATAAGTACGGAAAGTAAATAAAAACAATAAACCTAATTACTATTACAATCTTGAAAGCAATTACATAATAACAAACTATGCGCGAATAAAAGTTAAATCAGAATGTTCTAAGGGTGTTGACCCTTTTAAGAAAAGAAATTGAATTTTTTTGTCTTTTTTTTGTGATTAAGTGAAATTAGTAACTAATAATTAAACTAATTAATTAATTTATTAAAAGAAAATATTTTTTGTATTTTTTATGTTTTTTATGGAATAAAATAAAAAGAAATAAAATTAAAAGTTAAAATGGCCTAATTAAAACTAATTTATTTAATATTAATTTACAAAATAAAATAATAATAATAATGATGTTAGTTCTTTTTTTTTTTTGTTTTTTTATAAAAAATATGTTAGTTATGTTAATTTGTTAATAATAAAAATAATTAAAAGGTTAATAATTAAGAAAAATGTAAAAAAAAAAAAAAAAAGGAAAAGAAAAGAATAAATCAAGGGAAGGGGGTACTGGGCCAGATGGAGGTGCATTGTTGAATCCTGGCCCATTTGAATCTTCAGCTCGTTTGACTTCTTGGATTGAGTGGAGCGCTGTTGACTCCCTAGCATGGTGCTCTTGCTTTCCGGGCCTTTAGATCTGCATCCATGGACACATGGCTAACTCCTGGATGAGGTGTATGATGGAAGCTTGATGAGACGCTGCACACAAGCATAGGAAGAAAAATAATATGAAGTTTGGTGGGGACCTGGGATCGAACCCAGGTCCCAGTGAATACCAAGTACACATCCAACCACTGAACCAAACACGCTTGTTTGTTAATAAAATAGAAAAGAAACATAATATGAAAAACACGCGTTATATGCTGAAAAAATAAAAATGAAGGGCGCGTGATTTGAATGGACCAATCCCTTATTGCCACACCCTTCGTCTTCAAGCTTTTCCTGTAAAATAAAGAACACATAGCGGGGGTTTTAAACCCCCACAAAACAAAACTGTGAAAAATAGCGACTAGGCGCTCGTTGTATATAAAAAAGGCGCGAGGTATCCATCACGTTCGTCTCATCCAACTGATTTCAACCATGCCTGTTTGGAGTTTTAATTTTACAGCATGAGAAAAACCCCAATTTCAAAGCTCTGAAAACCTAGAAATCGCTAATGGTAATTTTCAATCCAGGGCATTATAATCAAATTGAATTATATAGAAAGCTTCATTTGGACCCTGTGAGTACAATGCAATCAATGAAAAGAGTTAAAAATGCATAAATATATGACTGTAATTTTGAGAAAGAGTGTAAGCCGTGTGACTTGTATGGCACGAGTTCTTGAGGTTTTGCGTTTAATTCTGATTGCAAAAGGTTCCTGGAAGGGTCAGGAGTGTGTTTGGATCAAAGGAGAGGCTTGAAATATGCTGGAAGGTAGTTTTCAGTTTCACACTTTTCCTTTGAAATTTTGAGATTGCTTATGCTGTCTGTGAGAGTTCTAGGTCGTCTATTTGATATAGAAGGCTTGCATATATGTTTTGTAATGAGAATCAATCAGAATAATGGACCTTTAAGCCTTTGCAATGAAGTTTTAATTTTGCCATGAACACCATTAAACCACTTGCCATATTTGCTTCAAATTTGAATTTCTATGCTTGAAATAGGTCTTGCACGAGTTTGGTATGTGCTTCATGGTGTATCAAAGCTATTCAAGCCACAAAATATTCTTTATTTAATTTTCTTGATTTTTATTTGAATTTCAAAGATTTAAAATGAATTAAATCAAATAAAATTAAATAAAAATGGAAAAATTAATTTTTAATCTTGAAATAAATTGTGGGACACGTGGGAGGCATGGCCAAGCTGAACCAAGTGGAAAAATTGGGCCCTTTTTGTCAAAAATGAAATTTCAAGGATAGTTGACTTTGGCCATTTCACAAAACTTTCCCAACTTCTCCAATGTATATCTTGCTCAATTTTGAAGCTATAAACATGTTCTTGGACATTTTGGAAAGTTCTTGAAGTCCTCTAACCAATTTCCTTGGTCCCATGTCATTTTGATCTACCAATCTCAAGTTATGGTCTTTGACTTAAAGTGCCTTTTTGTTGACTTTTGAAAATGACCTATAATGTTGAAATTGATAACTTTTTGTGAGAGCATTTATTGGACTTGGAATGTGAAGATGAGTTGTAGGAAATGTCATCCCCTTCAAAATGAGCATTGGATGGGATTTTTATGATGAACCATGAAAAAGTTATGCCTTGGTCAAGTTGCAGTTGACTTTTCAACTGTCCAAAAATAGAAACTTTTGACATCTTGAGACTTTTTGAGCCATGCTTCTGGAATCATGATCAAGAATTGATCAAATGATGATTGTGGCTTCAAAATAAGATGTTGACCAAAATTTTTGACTTTTGACTGTCAAATGACCATTTTGCCCCTGCAGTTGACTGTGAAGCAATTAGGGTTTTTGACTGTGCAACTTGATGCTGTGAGTCTTGAAAGTTGACATATAGATGCTTGACAATGTATATGGGCATATGGGACTTGATTGGACCCTTGAAAACCTCATCTTCTTTGCAAGAACCAAAACCCTAATTTTGACTGTGTTAGGAGGCAATTGGACTGTGCAACCTTTGAGAGATTTTGAACCATTTGGAGATTGACCTTGACAAATCTTGGAGAATGTGGGAGGGAAAATTTTGGGGTACAACAGTTGCCCCTGTTCAATCTTCTTAGACCTGAGGATGTAGATTGGCTGGTGTGCCTTTCGTAATCCGAAGGTGGAAGATGATTGAACACTAGAGTGCCCAGAAATTTGCACTCGCATAGTAGAGTATCATCAATGTGATGTCGAGAATGGGCTTATAGATGCCATTTGGAGATATGATGGATAGGAGGATGGGCTTATAGATGCCATCTGGAGCTGTGACGGAGCCTTGTCGGGAATGGGCTTATAGATGCCATTTGGGGACTGTTGGTATGTGGATGGGCTTATAGATGCCATCTAGGTGTCGATCGCGTAAGAGATTCCTTAGCGAGAACTTGTGTACCTGAGAAAGAAAGATAATTACCTGGCCTGTTGCAAGGGTTGATCTTCAAACTCTTGATGTAGATATGCCCTGGCTAGATACAGGTATCGAATCTCTAAACTCTTCATGTAGATATGCCCTGGCTAGATACATGTATTGAATCTACAATCAGTTACTCACAGATGTGCCCTGGCTGGATACAGGAATCGAATCTGGAATCAGTCATCAACAGATATGCCCTGGCCGGATACAGGAATCGAATCTTCAAACTCTTCAGACGTGCCCTGGCAAGATACAGGAATCGAGTCTGGAATTAGTCGTCAAAAGATATGCCCTGGCCGGATACAGGAATCGAATCTTCAAACTCTTCAGACGTGCCCTGGAAAGATACAGGAATCGAGTCTGGAATTAGTCGTCAACAGATATGCCTTGGCTGGTTACAGGAATCAAATCTTCAAACTCTTCAGACGTGCCCTGGCTGGATACAGGAATCGAGTCCGGAATTAGTCGTCAACAGATATGCCCTGGCTGGATACAGGAATTGAATCTTCAAACTCTTCAGACGTGCCCTGGCTGGATACAGGAATCGAGTCCAGAATAGTCGTCAACAGATATACCCTGGCTGGTTACAGGAATCGAATCTTCAAACTCTTCAGACATGCCCTGGCTGGATACAGGAATCGAATCTGGAAATAGTCGTCAACAGATATGCCCTGGCTGGATACAGGAATCGAATCTTCAAACTCTTCAGACGTGCCCTGGCTGGACACAGGAATTGAATCTGGAAATAGTCGTCAACAGATATGCCCTGGTTGGATACAGGAATCGAATCTTCAAACTCTTCAGACGTGCCCTGGCTGGATACAGGAATCAGATCTGGAAATAGTCGTCAACAGATATGCCCTGGCTGGATACAGGAATCGAATCTTCAAACTCTTCAGACGTGCCCTGGCTGGATACAGGAATCGAATCTGGAAATAGTCGTCAACAGATATGCCCTGGCTGGATACAGGAATCGAATCTTCAAACTCTTCAGACGTGCCCTGGCTGGATACAGGAATCGAATCTGGAAATAGTCGTCAACAGATATGCCCTGGCTGGATACAGGAATCGAATCTTCAAACTCTTCAGACGTGCCCTGGCTGGATACTGGAGTCGAATCTGGAATTGATCGCTCACAGACATGCCCTGGCTAGATACAGGTATCGAATCTGGAATTGCGACAGTTGATAGTAATTATCTTTGGATGTACCTTTTTCCTAAAAAGGCAAAACATCAGTTGTATGCAATGTCATGATGTATGAAGTGCATGATGTCATGATGTTCTCAAGAATAAATGAGATAGTGTGATATGATGTGTATGTGCATGCATTGTGTATGTAAGCAGGATGTATGAAATGTGATATGTTTACGAATGTATTTTCGTCTAGGAAAATAAATCCTTGACGAATGCCGGGAAGTTGGATCCTGGGCTGATGTTTGAAGAATAGAGTTCTTCATTTCCGCTGGGGATGATGGTTGCAAGAATAAACTGGCAGGAGAAGATGACTCCGTTGGGGGATAAACTTGTTGGAGAGATTACTCTGCGGGGAGTTACTCTGTGGGAAGAGATACTTCGCTGAGGTTTGATGATAACTCCGCTGGGGATACCGTTGATAAGTTATGTTGGAAGATTTGATGAACTCCGCTGGGGGATAGGAAGAACTGCGCCGAGGACGATCTTTCTGTGGTTTTTAGCTGAGGATAACCCAATTATAAGCTCTGGTGGAGAATAACCTTTGAATAAAGCCGGGGAGACGCGTTCTTGCTCTGCAGGGGGTAAGCTTCCAGAATCTACTAGGGATAAGCTTCCTACTGGGGAGATGGATTCAACTCTCCTGGGGAGACTGTTGGACTGTACTGGGGAGTGGCTCCACTGAAGTGTCTGTATTCCGCCGGGGAACAATCTTATATTAAGACTGTCGGGGATGCTTGTTAGGAATGTTTGTGTACTCCGTTGGGGAATATTGAGATCTTCGGGGATAATCCAATTTCCTTAAGGCTGACAGTAGACTAACTCTGCTCGGGGAGAGTATCGCTGACTTGCTAGGGATATTGTGCCTTGTCAGGGCTGACGGGAGACCAACTCTGCTCGGGGGAGAGGTATTGTTGATTCTGGTCTTACTCTGCGGGGAGTGAAGGTATCCTCGTTTCATTCTTCAGCCGAACTTACCTTGGTACCTTGGTGGACAGAGCAACTAGATTGCTTAGACAACTCATTATTGCCCCTGTTTCTGATGTCACCTGTAATTAATCCTTTGTTTCGTATTCAAATATTTATGAGTTAGCAATTAGTGTCAAATGCATATATCAAAAACTGAACATTGGACGTTCTTTACAAAACAAAACAGAAAAAGGAAAAACAATTGGCAATTGGTCTGAAAAGTGAATTTGTATTGATTTTTGAATTTGCCTGTAAATAGGCGTTTATGTA